TGTGTGTGTGTGTGTGTGTGTGTGTGTGTGTGTGTGTGTGTGTGTGTGAGGAAAACAAACAACATTGTCCTTGTGACCAGTTCGTGTATGTGTGTGTGTACGTGTGTGTACGTGTGTGTACGTGTGTGTACGTGTGTGTGTGTGCATGCGTGTGTGTGCGTGTGTGTGTGCGCGCGCGCGCGCGTGTGTGTGTGTGTGTGAGTGTGTGTTTTCTTTACCAAGAGTCCACACCAGTTTGTATTGTCGTTAGTATAAGTGTTCATTCACTTTCGTTTGAACAAAGAGAAGTTGATCTACATTGACATAAAACGGCCACTTACTGAAGAGAAAAAGCAGGACAGACCAGACAGTGAGAAACTAACAGTAGGAGAGAAAAGAAAAAGGACGCACAAGTGACCCATACTAATTAGATTATTAGACACTGACGTTATGACGGTCTGTTGTTGTTGTTGTTGTTGCTATTGTTGTTGTTGTTCATGTTGTTGTTATCATTATTGCTGCTGTTGTTGCTGTTGTTGTTGTTGTTGTTGTTATTGCTGTTGTTGTTGTTCATGTTGTTCTTATCATTATTGCTGTTGTTGCTGTTGTTCATGTAGCTGTTGTTAAATCGCTGTTGCTAAATATCGCTGTTGTTGTTGTTGTTGTTGTTGTTGTTGTTGTTGTTGTTGCTGCTGTTGTTGTTTTTGTTCTTGTTTTTGTTGTGTTGTTGTTGTTGTTGTTACTGTTGTTGTTGTTCATGTTGTTGTTGTTCATGTTGTTGTTATCATAAATTGCCGTGGTTGTTGTTGTTCTTGTTGTTATTATTGCTGTTGTTGTTGTTATTGTTGTTCCTGTAGCTGTTGTTAAATCGCTGTGGCTAAATATCGCTGTTAATTGTCGTTGTTGTTGTTGTTGTTTTTGTTGTTGTTTTTGTTGTTGTTGTTGTTGTAGTTGTTGTTGTTGCTGTTGTTGTTTTTGTTGTTGTTTTTATTGCTGTTGTTGTCGTTGATCTTGTTGCTGCCGTAGTGTTTCTTTGTTTGTTTGTTTGTATTTTTAAAAATCTAGCACAGGTGAACCAGTCAGACTGAATGGCCCCCTCTCACCACTGAGTCACGTACACCCAGGGTGCCATGTTTCACGTACACTGCCGTCATGTTTACAAGGACAGTACTTACAGTTTGTACAATTTCACAGAGTAGCCCTTCCGAGGGTCTGTTTTCTAAGCTCAAAAGGACTCAACTTAACTGGGGTGGCAATGTCGTAAGAATGTTCGATTCCAGAATCCCAAAGCCAGTGTTCTATTTTGTACTGTCCCCAGGGAAGCGAATGGTTGGCGCACTAAAAAAAAATAAGAAAAAGACAAAAAGCGCTACAAGGCCACCCTGAAAATGTCTCTGAAGGACTTCAACACAAATCTGTCCCCGTTGTTTTATGCAAGAAAAATACAGAAATTATGCTAACTGAGCCCTAAAATGTGAAATTATGCAATTCTGATAGTTTTAACAAAGAATGATAATGGAAAATAATCAGAAATTAGGCCAAAAAAAATCAAATTTTGCTAAATTATGCTGGGTGCATAAAACCACAGGGACAGACGAATACTTCGACATGGGAGAGCCTTGCTCCTACAGACCCATGGCTCTCATATGACCTTATGCAGCTGCGAGCCCCGTAAAACCTCTACTAAATAACTGACAGACCCAGCTGGAGAACAGCCGTCACAGTGGGCAGGTAATCATATGAGGCTTCACGAATTTATAAGAAATTTGATGCTGAAACCAAGACAGAAGCCTCCAAGCCAGCTTCGCACATCCACAAGTGGAAGTGGAGATTTTAAATGTTCAAAATGTGGCAACTGTTCTCTGCTAGAATTGGTCTCATTGGCCACAACAGAAGTAAAAAACCACCGTTACCCTTAATTCTTCAAAAGTTCTTCTTTTTCGTTAGAGAAATATTCTTTCCTGCACATGTATTGGTCATTGTCAGACAATGATGGACCAGCTATTCTTCTTCTTCTTCTTCGTCTTTTCTTCCTCTTCTTCTT